ATTGTAAACCGATGTATAGACACATATGGAACCCACTGTAAACCCTAACAAGGGGATGGTTTGATATGACTTGATCCTCAAAATACGGCATTCTGTGGTCCCATTGGCTGTGAATTCTAAGCCAGACTCCCTTGGACAGGAACGAGTCAGGTATCGACTGCTGAGCCCGTTCTTGCTGCAACCCAAAGAGTGGAGACCAGCGAGAAATCTCAGTTGCAAGCCGCAGGCACGCAATTGTAGTGTATTTGCTGAATAGATTGGCTGATGCAGAGGATAGACACCGGATGATAGGAGGGATAGGATAGGGGTATATTGTCGCACTTGTGGACATATAAGCTACGACAAACTACGTTATTCTTATTTATGTCACAGATACCTCAAGTTGGAATGACCATGAATGACCCATGTCAGCAGCTCATGGAAGCGGACCCGTGTTGATTCTTCGCACGTCTAAGCACATGATTTGGTATGATGTGGTTGTTTGGTCATTGGAGCGGCATATCCTTGGCTTCCAAGAATGACGATCTGGACAGGGACATCCAGAGAAGACGCACTGAAAGCGCCCAAACCGAATGCAACTGTGTGTCCAGTGCCGGGTTTGCAAGTAGAACTTGCCTGCGTTTCACAGTCTTTCCCGATGGCGGTGCTAGCGCACTCTAGGGCATATAATTCTCTTGGCTCAGAAAGATAATTGCATCTATGCTAGTGATTTGGTACTTAGATTTTTTTCGTGCTGTCACTGCATCAGTCTTTTGTTCAGGGACATTTCGGGATCTGTGTTGTTTGCCTTCTATTTCTCTTCAAGATAGTGACTTCGCGGGCAGCCCACAGTCTCAAGGTCTTGATGATTACCCACCAGCGTGCAGAGTATTTGAAGCGCGCTCTGGGCTCCCTGTTCCGTCACCGGATCAAGTCGGAGACCTACCCCATCATCGCTTCGCAGGACTTCGGTGGAGAGTCTATGGCAACTGCTGCCATCCATTTTCCAAAGAAATGTTCCTGCCATTGCTAGGAAAAAATTGTTTTGTCCCCAGCTATCATGCTGGATCATATTGGGCTGGACATTGGCCATTCCAGGATTCCAACCATTGGTCTATGGGAAAATTTACAGAAAACCATGGTTTTTACCATCAAAAATGGGCCGTAAACCAGTAAAATTTCCCATAAACCAATCCATTGAAGGATGGGGAAGATGCCGAAGTGAAGGCGGTCTTGCAAAAGTATGAAGCCACGGGCGCGCTGAAGTTTCTCCGCTTCACCCCCAAGACGTTACTTTGGCTGAGCATGGCTCTTCAGTGCAGGGTGCTTTCGAGGCGTGTATCCCAACAAGATCAATAAGGCCACATAGAAATTGAATGAAATTGAATGAAATTGAAATCAACATCCACCATAAAAGTGGTGCTTGTTGCCATTCATTTCGTTCTCCGGCGATGTCACATCACTGACCACTGCTGTGTCTGCACCTTTCACTGGCTTGGCAGTCAAGATGTGTCCCAGGTTTTTGCCCACGGGATACAAACGTCTCAGCGCTCACTATGGCTGGGCTTTGGGGCAAGTCTTCGACGTACTAGGCCTTGAAAAATCTTGAAAGTCCATGCAACTCTGATATCCAGCGCAGTGTGAGATATGATTATAGAATAACATCATACAATCACATACATCATGAATCATGACACAAACATACACAGATATAATCGGATATATATATATATTATATTAACTATATGCATATATAATAATTATATATATATACAGATTATACAGTGCAAAGAATGCAGGGTCACTCCCAAGAGCGACAGGGGGCTACAGCAGATGGGAACAGCTGGACTGGTTTAGCAGGTTTCAGTTGCCATGCACTGGTCCAGTCTCAGATGATGTTTGTATTCTTCATTCATCAAAGGGTTGCCTTGCAGGATACCAGCAAGTTGTTATTTTGGAAGAGGATCTGGATTCTTGGCTGACAAGTCGCAACGCAATGGATAGGGAATGAGATGGAATGAGCAATTCTGCTAGTGCACAAATCTGTTCATTAGTGAAATTGACGTGGATGTGTTATTTGAGAAGCCAGACTTGGCTAAGTTTTGAGCCAACAGCCATGTATACAAAGGCACTACAATGCTTTCTGTTTGGCATGCATAGTGTGGAATCACTAGAAATTGACACAGAACATCCTGGCAATCCACTGGGACATTTATAAGTTTGAGTGTTTGCAGCTCAAATGTTGCGTGGGTGGTCATGTTTGTGAAGCTGCCGGATTCGGGTATCAAGGAGATAGCTGTGGACTTTTTCTCCTATTTCAAGGTGGGGCTCAGATGTTTCGAAAAGAAATTACTGAGAATCTAATCTAAGTCCACACCGAAATTTGAGAGAAGAACATATCTGCCCGGTGGTTTGGAACATGTTTCATTTTTCCATTATATTGGGGATAATGCTACCTACTACCAACTGACTAATATTTTTCAGAGGGGTTGAAACCACCAACCAGATATAAATGGGAGATTGGCTCATACGACCAGGGAAGTGAGGAGTGAGAGCTGATCAATATCGACAGCCCATTTGATGCCATCCTATGCAGTTTTGGTGAAGGTACTTCACAAGGATGGTGAACATTGGTGAACTGGACATCAATTTGCACTTGCAGATCTTGCCTATGGTGATGACATGTGATGACCAAAAGACTTGCACTGGAGTAGTTGCATGAAGGCCACCAAGTCTCACATAGGGAGGGGAGAGACGTGTAAAGAACATTAAAGAACAGCGTGACCAACAGGCCACCTTGCCATTGCTGCAATCCGATTCCAAGCTCTTCTGTGTCTCCGCTTGGAACGACAATGGGCGATCTGACCTGGTCCAGAACGCAACGGCGATCTACCGCAGCGAAGCTTTCTCCAAAATGGAAGGAAAAGATGTGTTGGAAATTGTCGGATTGTTATGATACGACTTGCGATTGCTGCCATTTGATATATTTGATCTACTTCCATGCAACTTGTGTGATGGGTGTTGCAACTTGCCACTTCAAGTAGACATATCAGTTCCAACACCTGTCCAAGGATTTCTTTCCTGGTCTCGGTTGGATGCTGTTGAGCAGCTTCTGGAATGAAGTCCGGGGCAAATGGCCCAACGAGATCCTTAGCTGAAACGAATCCCCATGGGGCCCTGCGACCTGTTGAAGCACCCAGCGTCGACACTGAGGTATTGGGATGACTTCCTGCGTCGACCTGAGATTCGTCACCTGGCCGATGGGGATGGACAGGCTCTTGGAATTCACTTCAGGCTGAACCATTGGCCTCCTGGCTACCCTCTGGTAATGACTAACATACAGTAACTATGGAAAATTGCCATTTATAGTGAGTGTTTCCATTAAAAGTGGTGATTTTCCATAGCTATGTTAAATTACCAGAGGGTACCCCATAAAAACCATAACATTTGCTGACATGGGCCGTGAAGTATCCATGGCCCCATGGCCCATCGCACCCAAGGCCTGGAACGGCATTGTTTGCGTCCTGAAGTGAGCCGCACGTTCCTTGGCCGTCGATGAATCGCGGATAGCCGGTATGAAACTGATGCAGATTCGAAGACAGAGCGTTGTAGTAGTTGCGAAATACCAACAATCAACACTTCAACACAGGGGGGTCTTTTCACGGAAGATCGATTCTTGCAACGTTCCCCCCTGTTTTATCGAGGAACCGCGCTGTAAGGGTTTGTGTTTGAACATATTGGAAGTATTCATGGAACATCATGGAACATGTGTGAACTGAGCCTTTGATACTTTGACGAGGTTTGTGCTTCGATGGCAACTAGAATGTTTCCTCAAATTGTTATCAGGTTATATCAGGTTAGTGTTGTTGAAGTTGCAATCCCTGGTGGCCAAGGCACACCTTCGGCGAAAAGGGTGTTTCTCACGGGCAGTACTACAAACAGCAACTCTGGCAAGCATACAACAGCGGTTTCTTGAAGAAATGAGAAATGCGAAAACGATGGATTTGCATGGGGGCTCTCAGCAATTTTGGAATGAAACTGCACTGTCATCTATCTACCTATTTCTCTATTTTCTATCTTTCTATCTTTCTATCTATCCATCTGTCTGTCTATCTACTAGATCTATCTCTATCTATTCTATCCATCGATATCTATCTCTATCTATCTCTATCCATCGATATCTATCTCTATTTCTATCTAGATCTATCTCTATCTATCTCTATCATTCTCTATTTTCTATCATTCTCTATTATCTATCTATCTATCTATCTATCTGTCTGTCTGTCTGTCTGTCTGTCTGTCTGTCTGTCTGTCTGTCTGTCGATCTATCTATCTATCTATCTATCTATCTATCTATCATCTATCCATCCATCCATCCATCCATCCATCCACCCACCCACCCATCCATCCATCCATCCATCCATCCATCTATCCATCCATCCATCTATCCATCTATCCATCTATCCATCTATCCACCTATCTATACCAGAACTCCGTCCAGTGAGCGTATCTACACTTGTAACTTTTGATTTGACTCGACGAGACGTCCGAGACGCCCTGGCTGCGCAAAGTTCGGCATTCGCGGGTGCTTGAGGCACTTGGCATCGAACATGCTGAATGACAAAGTGGTGGATTGGGTCTCGATGAATTTGAGCCATGTGGCCACGGCTTCGGCCTTTGATCTTTTCTTGAGTCAGCAGGCAGGGTCGACGATTCCGTACAAGTTGGGATCAAGTTGGGATAGCGGGTTGGATTTTGGCAGGATTTCGACCTTCTTCGGATCCGGTGTTTATTTGATGACTGTAGACTGCAGGGGTGAGTTGAGTCAGTTCAAAAGTGGGTGATTAAGGTGATTTAAATACCGCTGATATGTCAAGATGTTCCACAACTGCAGCAGGTGAAAGCTGCAAAGCTGATTCGGCTCGAAGAGCTCAAGGGAAACCAGGTGGATTCTCCAATCGCTGTTCAATATGTGGACAAAGACTGGAAGCAACTTGCTCATGATTCAAGATGCAGGTTGTTTGCCTCCTGCTGTTTTCTTTGATTTTTGAATGTAATGACTTCAAGGTGTTTCTTGCCGTGGGGAAGTCGGCCAGCAAATTTCGGCTTGGGTTTTTTCAAACTCGCCCAGGAAGGTGGCACAACATTTTGGCCTCATGGAGGATCAAAAGGTACCCCACCTGGTGCAAAAAGCTCTGCGTCAGTCCTGTCTGCAAACATTCCATGGATTAATCAGCTCATAGCTGAAGATCTCATCGTCAGATGCAACTTGTGACACTGTGAGAGGCCGGCGTTCGACGTGGCAGCTACAGGGGCGTGTTGCCCTTTGCCTGGAATGGCCAGGCAACATATTTGGTACGAGACTGGCCGTTGAATTAGGAATGTACCCGAAGCAGGACACTAGAATGCCATAGGGAAGAATCAGACTTAAAAACTTAAAAAAGAAAAGATATGAGAAGATATGAGAAGCACAGCCGGTGATTGAACTACTCTCAAAACATCGGCCTTGATTTTGTTGCGGGAGTTGCTTTTCCTGCATAGTTTTATCGGGCAAACGTGGCCGCTAAGCAACGCGGCCTTTCCCGTTGCCAATTGGCGGATAAGATGTCTGCAAGGTTTGGCAACCGGATATCCAAAGCCTTCGAATGCGAGAAATGCATAGAACTTTTTTAAGGTGGTGACCTGCATGAAATATCAAAGTAGATCAACGCATGGTATCGGACTAGATGTATGCTGTATGCATGTATATGCGTATTTTTATTGTAGAGCTTCGCACACCGGCGATGCTGTTGGGGACGGGTGTGACTGGCAGGAAGGCTGTTGTTGTTGTTGTTGTTGCTGCTGCTGCTGGTGTTGTTGTTGTTGTTGTTGTTGCTGTTGCTGTTGCTGTTGCTGTTGTTGTTGCTGGTGGCAACAGAGCGTATTGTCGCAGTTTGGTCGACCCCTAAAAATCGTCAAATAGGCGGTGTTTTTGCATCTTTTTGACACCCTTGGAGGAAAAAACGCTGTAAATACCGATGTTTTTTGCGCTTCAGAAACCGAAAACCACGGTATTTACAGTGTTTTCTGCCTCAAGTAGCAAAATTCGTGGTATTTACAGTGGTTTTTGCATCGGACGGAGCAAAAACAGTGGTATTTACGCAGTTTTTACCTTGTTGCAAGATGTACTGCTTTCATGCAAAGAAGACAAAAACACTGTAATTTGCGATGTTTTTGCTTCCCGAGCGCAAGAAAAATCGCCAAAAAATGGCTCCAAAACGGCCCAAAATCGACCTCCAAAAGCATCTTCTAATTTTAGCCTCGTTTTTCCCGGCCATCTTCTAATTTTAGCATCGTTTTTCCCGGCCCTGGACCCCAAAAACGTGAAAACACCAGCAGAGTGAAGGATTCTGGGGAAAAGGTCATCACATCAGCCCGGGGGTCGGCGGCAGGGGCGCGCCCCGGATAGCTAAAGCTAGCTGCAAGCTATGCTCTCATACGGCGAGCATCGCCGGATTAAGGGCTAACGCCCCCTGCCGCCGACCCCAGGCACGGTCAAGCGTTGTCAGGCCAAGTTTCATCCAAACAAGTTGAAGGGAAGCAAAAAGCAATTGGGGTAAAATTTCCAAAATGGTTGGAATGGAATGGCAAAGAGAACGGGCAAACCGATGGATCAGTGAGACTTTCATGATTGGTATTTCACATTTGCCAGCTCCACAAGAAGCTTCAGGCTCGAAGTCCAGGGGCGAAGAAGAGCATGGCCATAGGAATGGTGCAAATGAAAAGCCAATGGAAGTAAGCAGGTTTTGAACTGTATGACAGTGAATGAGGCATTTGTTTACGGCCCCAGAACTGATCTTCGCCATGGGAAAGCGCAGATTTACAGCAAAACACCACCTAATTTCGAAACGAACTCGGCCTGCGGGCGACGGCCCCCAGTGCCTAACGTTACCTTCTGAACCTATTAAAAAACTACCTGTCTACGTCCCTTTCAGCTGGCCTCCTATAGCTCCACCGTGGTTCCGTGACGTGCGCCTTTTTTACAGCAAAACACCACCTAATTTCGAGACGAACTCGGCCTGCGGGCGACGGCCCCCAGTGCCTAACGTTACCTTCTGAACCTATTAAAAAACTACCTGTCTACGTCCCTTTCAGCTGGCCTCCTATAGCTCCACCGTGGCTCCGTGACGCGCGCCTTTTTTACAGCAAAACACCACCTAATTTCGAGACGAACTCGGCCTGCGGGCGACGGCCCCCAATGCCTAACGTTACCTTCTGAACCTATTACAAAACTACCTGTCTACGTCCCTTTCAGCTGGCCTCCTATAGCTCCACCGTGGC